TGTTGCATCATTCCAACTTTGGTGATGTTGAGGAAAATCATCAATTGTATATGTTTTGTGCATGTAAATTTCTGGTTTATGCCTGCATATTGTTCCTTTACCTATGTTTTGATGATATTTAAATTTGATAATGCTGCAATAATATGTTCTGTTATAATGTTAATTTTTCATTCTTCTTTCTTGTATATGTATTTCACAGTACAAATATTTTGCTTTATATAAAATTCACATCTAAATCAGAAGCACAATTATGTGCATAGAAATAATGAACCTCTCCAGAAGAATGTTTCATGATTTCTTGCAAAAGATCCATAAAATATAATTTTTACTGTTATGGATAAAATTCTTCCTGCAAAACATGCTTTTATTAACAAAGTGATGGTTTTAGCATTAAACCCTAATGTAATGTCATCAGATATTTCTAAATTAAATTCTAAAAATAAGTCTTCCGTCTTTGAAAACGAAACTTCTCTAATGACTATTGAAAAATTTATTGTCACTCATTCTTTTCCTCATTATAACTTAGCCATTTAAATTGGAAGATTTTTCCTTCTCAGTTGATATCAGTTGACTCCACTGTTTAAAATGCAAAGAAGTGATGAATTCAAGTAACAGATGAACAAATTTGAAACCTTTTCTGGATTGGTTGTGTGAACAATGGAAAAAAATGCTGGAAAGCCTGCTGAATAACAGAAGTGATGCACAAAGTAATAACTTTCAGGGAAGAGAAAGTAGTTAATAATGTAGATGATGTTCTTGGCGCAGTTACAATGAGACAAATGGATTTTTCCTGGTCTTCATAAGTGGGCTTTTTGACAATAAGTTCTTTAGCAGTAGTTTAAAACCAAGCTGCTTGAACTGTGGTATACTTCTCAGGCTCACGGGGTAGGCATCCTGTGACAAAGATTGTGATAAGAAAAGCTGCTATGAGATCCTGACATGTGAGCAAGGCTGTCAGTGGAGTGGTCTGGGAGAGTGGCATCAGTAAAAGGAATCAATACAGAAATGAAAGTCAAAGTGACAGTGCTGAAGTGATCAGATTTGGTACAGACAATTATCCTGTATGTTCTGGGAGTCTGGCAGAAGACAAGTAAAGAAATCTTCAAGGTAGTTTGCCTACAGTTGTGTTGCTCCTGTTCCAGGGAAGCTCAGAAGAGAGTTTCTTTTATTGTTTGAGTATTTCACAAACAATGAAATCAGCACTTTCCTTTTATCTATCTGAGCTGTACCATGCTCTCTAATTCTACCAGCTGTTGCTAAGCAACTGTAACAGTAATAGTGATGTTTACCTTAAGCCTCAATTTATTTTACTTTATCTTAGAAAAGTAGAAAAATAAAATCCGAGCTGTTCTCAGTGATCTCCATTTGCAGAATGAGTTTGCATCTATGAAAAACAGGCTTTTTTTCAAGGGTACTAAATCTACCTTTAGCTCAGAACTTTAAAACATGGATCTTGCTCTCTATAAAATAACTTTTTCAACACCATGTTCTATATATTTCAAGTCTGGTATAGGACTTGTATTGCTTTCCTCTCTTTCTGATGCATTTTCTTTCCTTCATTTCGATGAATCTTAAGAACGATTGGAGTAGAATCAAAGGAAGAAAGAGTATGAGAAGATATTTGCTTTACTGGGATATTTACTGTATTTTCAAAGGAAAAGGGATTAACCAACTTCATGTAATCTATCTGTTTTTAATTAAGGACTTATTGCTGTGTCAGAAGGAAGCACTGTCAAGCTGTAGCCTTGAAAGAGCTATTATGGTCTTATTATTTTTTTGTCTCTACTAACCAGTGTCACTGAGTTGATAGTGTTATACACTGGATTTTTTTTGTTGTTTTTGTTAAAAGCCTTTTTTAAAAAAAAAAAATGTTTCCTGCAGAGAGACTATTGTCCCACATTTTATTTCCCCGTTAACCTTTGTGAATACGGATTTACTGGTCTTTTTGGGCAATCCAGTACTGAAAAGAGAACATGAAATATCTTTTCTCAATTTGGCAGCATAATCCAGTTTATGTATAATATACATTTCAGCATTTAGAACTTCATTAAATAAAAACTTTCATATACTAGTAACTGAGATGTTTTGCTCTGGTACACAGCAAAGCTAGCATTATGGCAGAATTGTTTCAGAATTTCTTGCTGAATAGTAATATTAGTCTCTAACCTTTAGGACAATTTAATTTCAATTGGGTTCTGGATAAAGACTTAAGTATACATAGGAAATGGTCCAAAAAGCTAGTGCCTGGCTCTCATAGTACTAATCTGAGACTATAAAAACAGCAGCTTTTATGTTTCATCAGCACAGTCAATGAATATATATCCTGTGGCCAGAAGGTCTGAATTTAAAATGTTTTATAGATTGATGAAGTTCCACTCACCTTGTGAATGTCTGCATCAGAATTTAAGGTAATTACATGCATTCAAGCATCTCATGTGAGAGGGACTCCATGAAGGTCCTAGACTGGTCACAGCCAAAAATTGCAGGGTTTAAATAGATTTGTATTTAAAGGAAATCCATCTAAGTTTTGTAATTTAGCTGCCATTTTCCCTCTATTTTTACCCTTAATGACAAGCTACAGAATATTTAGTGATTCAGAAGTAACTGACAGTGTTTGGAAGGTTGAATCCAGCAGCCAACAGAGGTGAGGCTGCCCCATCTCTTTCCCGGACGCAGGCAGTGACAAGGCTGAGCAGCTTTTCCCAGTAGGCACACAGAGCACAAGAATACACCACGTACACGGGTACACACGTACACAGCTGACTGCATGGATGAACAGAGTCAGACATGCTCTCCCTCCGATCAACTCAGGCAGCACCAGCGGCCTCACTTGATTTCCCATCTCCGGCCTGGGGCAGTGGTGTTCCACCACTCATCCACCCATGGAGCTGACTACAATTTCCCTGGGCTTCAGTAGTCACCCAGCCCAGGGTCTTGTCCTTGAAGAAGCCTTGCTGTGTTCCTCTCCTTTTCCCCTGCTCACCACATCTGTCCAGACGTTCACCAGCACCCACACACTCGCAGACCTGCACTGCCTCGTGGTGCTGCGCTGCAGCCAGGCAGGCTCTGGTCTGGTCCTGTCTGGGGCTGGCACAGGCTGAGGTCTCCCCAGTCACTGGGCCCCTGACATTAATCATTTCAGATCAAATAATTTTGAAAAAAATCTCATTAATTCTCTTGAACTATCTTTGCCTGAGTCTCGCAAAACCTAATAAGTAAATTTACACTGTTCTCATTTCACTTGCGCTAGGACTGTCTTGAATATGTTTAAATAGCTGAAACACTGAAGCCTTGTGTTGCCAGTTCTCCCTGAGCCTGGAAAGTGATGTTGAGCACAGCAAGTGGACTCTGGTATGGGGCAGGTGCCCTCTTTGTGAGATGTCTGTGCTGGGGCATGCTCTAGGTATGCCAGTAAAGATGATGGCTTGCTTGTGAATAAATCTTTGGTGATCCCTAAATTAAAAAGATCTCAGTACTTTCTGATTTGATTAATTCCCTGGAAAGTGCCTCGTAATGGTGTTGTGAGGTCTTTTTATGGATTTTTAAAGGACACTTGAAGAAGCTACATGCTATTTAAAATGGTCCTCAAAGAATAGTGCCTTTGCCTCTCTGGCCATTTGACATTTCCGTTCTTGATTGAAGCTATTTAGGAAATAGCAGCTTTACTGAGTAGTAAGACAGAAAATGGCTTGAGGTTATACTAATGAGGAAGAAGTGATGAAGGCCCAGTGCAGAGCATGGCAAACTGATGGCAGGGGCTGCAGGGCCTGAAGGTCTAAGTGGGAATAGGAAGTGCTGGCAAATTACATAGAGCTCAGCAGAGGAGAAAATACAAAGAGAGAATATAAAAACAGAAGAGAAAGGAAAAATGTATGGTTGAAACAAGGTGTGCAATCACCTGTTCATGTCTTACAGCTCTCGACTGCTCTACCATCTCAACTGATAGCAACAACAATTTCTATCTGTAATTATCTATTGCAGTTCAACAGGAAATCTTTTTTGTGTACAGGACATATGTGTACATAACACTTCTTGGCACTATCAAGGACATTTCCTGTTTATTCTTTTTGTTAAAAGTCATATTTACAGAACTGTTGCTGTCATGCACCTTGCCTCTCAAAGTAAGCTAAGTTACCGTACTAACACGACAGTAACAAAGTTCTGCAACTGTGCACGTGTTTGAGTTAAATTAGTCAAAATTGCAGACATGAAGTGCTCTGGAGCCATGAGAAATGTGTGTCTGAATTTGCTGTGCAGGAAAGAGGATTTAAAATCTTTGAAGGCTCTAAACATCAGCCTCTATAATTTAGGCCTCACAAATAAGAATAGGAGAGAGATGATGGGACTCATCCTGCCATATATCCAAAGCATGTGGTCAGTGCTGTTTTGTGCCAGAGGGAAATATTCCCAAGATAAGGGGAGTGAAAGCAGGTGTATCAGTGAGATCTAAGTAAGATTTAGGAGCCTCTCAGCCCTCTAAAGGTTTTTCTGGGAGTAAAATATTAGTGTCCAAGAGCATTGCAGGCCAGCATTGTAAAACTAAAAATTACTCCTTTTTGAGCACAGGTGGAGCAAGTACCCTGCAAGAGATTCTTGCTTGGCCAATAGATATTAACAACATAAAGACAAGATGAAGAAAGACAGCAAAAAATACATATGCTTTGTAATTCTCATGCCTGAACTCTGTGGAAAATTCCTCAATGTCTCTGTTTTAAAGTTGAAAATTTGGTAGAACAGGTAATCTCCAGCTTCAATTCACCTTAGATGTCCATATTTAAAAGGGACCAAGGGCCATTAAGGTATAAAAGCTGGAACATCTGAAATTTGTGCTAGGTAACTCTATTATGGAAAAAAGAAAAATCAATTGACACATGATTAATACAACATATGGAAGAAAAAGTTTAAAATTATATGCTTTTCAAACCTATTGGAGTTCTCTGAATGAATCAACCTGAATGTGGATAAAGATCAGAATTCCAAAAGACAGTGACCAAGGGTCCATGGTAACAGCTGTAAAGGAAATAAACCAGGTATGGCGTAAGAAAATTGCTGAAAGATTGGATAAAAGTTGTGCCTTAGGAGAAAATGGATATTTTTTACAAAGGAAAGGAGTCATCATGACATCCCAAATAAATCTGTGCTGTGTGTTCAGTGTGCGCATAAGTGGTCTGCGAAAGAGGGTAAGCAATGAGGTGACTGTAATGATAGGAAGTAATGAATTCGTGAAAATGAGGTGCAATTGTGAAGAATTACAAAAAATAGCCTAATGTGACCAATTAAAGGGGTGTTGGAGTAGTTGATAGAATTCGGAGTAGATGAATACAATGTGATGTTATTACATAGCAATAAACTGTAGGAAATCTAATAAATCACATTTTTCTACGTAAAATGACAGGCTCTAGCCTCACTGTAATTCCAGAGAAAACAAATCTTAGTTATAACCTATAGACATATAAAATGTAGATCTACTACTTACCTTAGAAAAAAGGATATGAAATGAGTGGGAGAAGAGGGAGAGGGATTAAATAATGTTTACACATTTTGAATATTACAAGAAGTTTTTGTATCCCTGACTCATGCAGGGTATAACACAGTATCAAAATGGTCACAGAAAGCTGATAAAATTTCTTAGGGGCAAAGAACAGCTATATGATATAGAACTTTTGAACCTGGAAATAAAAGGAGCTAGAACATGAAAAAGGTCAGTGAGATGCTAAGTGACATAGAAAGCATAGGTAAAAATCATCTGTATGCTTTCTTTTCATTCATAGACTTACTGGGGTGTCAAATGAACCTAACAGATGGTAAATGCTGGCAAACACAAAAAGAGATTTTTTGTGTTTTAGGATTCTCTCTACAATACCTGAAAGACCCTAGAAGTTAGTATAGACTCAAAGGATGACTCAGAGATGAGTTAATGGAAAAGAACTATAATATTTTACAGAAGGACAAGGGTACTGGAATGTCTTCATTATAAGAAATTCCTGAGATGCTGTTCATGAATGGGAAGGGTGATTTTTTGTCAGTGTCCTGCCCTCTTTGACTTGCTGTTGGAGAAAAGGTACTGAGCAGAATGAGCTTTTATCTGGCTGAGCACAGCTGGTCTTACTTATTAAATTTGCTAATACAACAAATTCATATTAGAAACGATTTCAAGGAATGAGGCAGATCTGGTCTTACTAGACATATCTTCTCAGCCTCTGTAGCTGCAGAATGGAAGATGCTACTTACAGTCATAAGAATAAATGTGACTTTATTTTCATTGGCATGATTGATCAAAATATCTTTAGCATCATTGACTTTACTAGAGTTAGTTTTGATGCATTTTATAGTTTTCGTGTTCAAAATACATGTATCCTGCAAAAATTCCTAACTATTATTATTGAAATATGTATATGTATATATACCTATTAATCTTCCACAGACTACCTTATGAATCACAGGAAGAGGAGAAGTGCTCCTTTTTGTATGTTTTTTGTAGAAGCATTTGAAACTGGAAACAAACAAACAAACAAAAATAAGTCAATGAATATGGTAAACAGGGTGGGAAGTGTGTGTAGGCTGAGTATGTGATAAATAAACCTAAAGGCCTAGGAAAATAAAAGTCAGATGTTTTTTATGAAGTGTTTTCTAAGGTTTTATTTTGTGAAGTTTGTTCAAAATCTTACAGCAAAGCAGTATTAAAATTATACTGATTCCTAGTGATTCTACCACCCATTTGACATGACGTATTTAGGGCAAAATTGCAGTGTTTTGTTTTCTTCATTGGCTCTCGCTTAGGGATCACAACTGAGAAATGATGAGACTGAGCAGGTGCAATAGGACTGGTACAGGTTATGCAAAGTAACTTTGAAAAATAGAATAATGCTGTAGTCAGTTTAATTATTTTTCAACTACAACCCAAGAGCATAATTTTTTTTAAAATACACTTTTTATATCATAGGGTAAAAAAAGTTGTCTAGAAATATCTTCTTACAGACAACATATGACAAAAATAGTAATAGCCGCATAGTTTATACTCATATAAACAGTTATGTGGTATCATACAAACAATCACAGTCTAATGCACCTTTAGTATTAAAATAATTCAGTGTATTCATATTGTACTCACTCGGTGACTGCACATCTTGTGAAAAATGGCAGTATTTATTTTGTTATTTGACAGAAAGCTAAAGTGAAATGTATTCAGTGTATTCAGTGATATTCACTCTACATTCAGCGCTTTAGTAGAACTACTTAATCTCTGCTAATATTTTTTAACGTTTTCCTGTTATGTTTGTCATCTTTACATTGATGCTTCTTTCTTCTCTTCAAATACACATAAGAAACAAAATAATCTTAGTTATACCATCAGTGTAATCTTACTGGTCTGTGGTGTCTCTGCAATCAGAAACTGCATTATTTCTTGTGGAATATTGTATGCTCATCTGCTATCTAATTTGCTGCTACCTGTCACCCTAAGTCTCTTTGTTCCTGTTCTCCAAGTATATACTCCACTGAATCTCTCTTAAGTGGTTTGATGCTGAATTTACACCTTTGAAGAAGTGTACCATTTGACATATATTGACATATATTTACATATATTGACAAAATAGGTATTAAATAGATAGCAGCTGGATTATTTTTTTTCCTACATTCTGCTCTGTTAACATGCTTGTGTCTTAACTAGGCAGGGACAGACTTAGAAGATGTGTTTTCTTAAAACCTCTTTGAGTATTGCTTACTTCAGAACCAAAATCTCCCTTGAAATTGTGTGTATTCAGTAATGAGTTTTCTGGGAGTTAACTGTGTATTAAATGTCTTCTATGATTTTTACTGTTTTTTTTTTTTTACTGAACACTAAGTAAATAAGTATATATTTATATATGCATATAAAATTAAGAACAAAGCTAAATAGCATTTCACAGTAATCATTTTTCTTTATGATTCTCCTTTGCCTCATGTTTTCTTGGGTGAAAAGGGAATAGGCAGTATGTGTGTGAATAGTTTCAGAACTGGCAGAATGATATACACAGGAGACTAAAAGAAAAGTGGAGAAAAAAAGGACTCTGGGCTGTAAGAAATGCTTAATTTAAACAGTGATAAACATTTTCTTCCTTATTCCTCATTAGAGTGTGTTTATTTTCCAAAATAATAATGCACAATAACCTGTATCTACAGATAGGAGTACAAAACATCTTTTGGAATAAATCTGGGAGCAATCACTGGCAGTTACAACAACTTCTGAAAGTAGGTAACAAGCATCTGTGCAAGGAAACTGCTAAGTTATGGCCATGTGGGGGCTGTGAGAGTTCACTTACTACCCCAGCAATATGGAGTTTAAAAATAAAAGTTAATAAAGTTTATATTATGAACTTTATAACCATATTACTATAAAGTTAATAACGCTTAAAAATAAAGGTTAATGAAGTTTTGCTTTAAGCCATCTCCGGGGTTCCCAAAGAGATTGGGGACATAATTTGCTTGTCTCCATGGATGTCAAAAATTTAGTTAAGATACTGCATTTACATATGCAGTTACATATGGCGTACTATATTCTTTATACACTAGAATTACAAATTTCTGCTCCTAAAATGGGGTTCTGTCTTTGACAGATTTTAGATGAATTGCTAAGATGCACTCCTTATTCAGTGCAAACCCTTCACACCCGAGCGGTAGGAAGGCTGCTGTGCGGCACAGCTTTCAAAGAGGGATACTTGACTTACTGAAACCAATGCTGGAGACATGAAGTAGCTGGTTAGAGTAACAGGGTGGTGGGTTGTCACTGTAATTTCCCTTTTCTGTTTTCAGAATGTCAGTTCTGTAGTAATTAAATTATTTTAAATTGTTTGTGGCATTTGTATGACATTTCCCCTGTGGTTGTAGGAAGAAGGATACAACGTGTCTGCAAGAATGCTGATAATTTTTAGTGAACAGTACATAACTGAAACATTCATGCTAAGTTCATGGTGTAGTAGGTTCCTTCTTTGCAAATGTTGGATAATAAGATGTCTTATTAAAGTGATTCAATGATAGGTATACCAGAAAAGATTTTCATTTTAAAAGTTTCCTGAATCCCCACAGCCTTTTTATCTCTTCATTAGAGTTATTATATTTGAAATTTAGTAAAAAATGATTACTTGTAAGTTCTTTAGTTTTAGGAGCAAATCCCTTTTATTAAATCCATCTTATTAAGATTTAGAAACCTCCCACAAGAATTTGACAGCTCTTCTCTGAAAGATCCAGTCTTGAGAGACCTACTGCTGGGAAGTTAAAAACAAAATTGCAGTCAGAAATACTCTTCTACTTTAGGTATAACAATAAAATGTGGGATAATACTTGTTCTGAAGTGCTTAAAATGCATATAATAATCCAAGCATTACAGTCCACAGAATGTCCTTATATTTTTCTCTGTTCAAATATTTCATTAATGTTTTTCAGAGTCAGTACAATTCTTGTATGGGTGATTAATAAAATCAAGTAGGAAACTAGCAATTGTGTGCACTGTAAGTCAAGGTTTCTTGCTGAGGACTTCCTGTTAATGAGCTATCATGCTTTCACAAAGTCTGTAGGATGTACAAACCAGGTACAAAAGCCTGCTGAGTAAACCCTTAGTGTTATTTTTTGAGAATAACCAAAAAACCAAACGACTAAAAGCAAACTAAACAAATCACCCCACTAAAAAAAATCGATCAACAAAAATACGAACAAACAAAAAAACCCCCAAACAAACAAACAACACCCCTCCCAAAACCCCAAAAATCTCCAACCAACCAACCCATCAAAAATATCAAACAAACAAAAAAACCCCACTTTTCTTATCACAAAATACATGGAACTACAAATGTACCACAGAAATTTTCCTGTGCTTTTAAAGTATAGAAATCTTGATGTTAGTTGCAACAGAAAGCATAATAAATGTGTCTACATTTTTCTCTTCATATTAAAGTAGGTTTCAGAACATCAGAAACTCTGATATTTTAGTACTTATATAGAAACTTTTAAAACGGCATTTGCCAAAAAGTTTCGAACACTCTCTTGCCATTAGAACTGTCAATCTGTTGATTTTATGGCATTAAGGCTAATGCAGAAATTTCACATTTGAATGAATAAGTCATACATTGTTAACACTACAGAACCTTAAATAATGATTCACTGCATAAAAAGATGTAAAGTGTCTCAGAAAATCCGCCTCAGAAAATGAGGTTTCTTAATCCAAAGGGAAGAATGGTGTAAATGCAATTTTTGTATTGTGCAATACACATTTACTGGTGTAAATGTGCTGCTTGTAATCTAGAAATTTTAAAATTAAGTTTACATATAAGTGTCTATATGAGAATATATACTGGGTGATGGAAAAGAAAACCAACTTCAAATTTTCCTTTTTTCTTTTTCAGGTCAGAACTGTGGAGGCTTAGTACAGGGACCAAATGGTACTATAGAAAGCCCTGGATTTCCTCATGGTTATCCAAATTATGCCAACTGCACATGGATCATTATCACAGGAGAGCGTAACAGGATACAATTGTCATTTCATACTTTTGCCCTCGAGGAAGATTTTGATATTTTGTCAATTTACGATGGACAACCACAGCAAGGCAATTTAAAAGTGAGGTAAGATACCTTTTTTCTTTCCCAATTTCTTTCTGTCTGTCTCTTTACCTTTCTTTCTCCTTCCTGAGTGTATGTTCTGATAATATGTTAGAACATATATTGTGTTTCCTTGGTTCATCCCCCGCCAAGAGGTCAGTAGTGCTCCAGAATATTCCAGAGAAAGATGTTAATCCAAATTTTAGATTTTTATGGCCCCAGCTTGTGTATCAGTATCATCAGTTGTATTTAAAATTTTCACGGTCCAAAGTCAGTTTTGGTGAAGGCCTGAGCACAGATGCATTCCACATTTCAGTATATTAGTTTTATTTTTCTGATGGTGGAGTCTAGGTTTTGCCAAGAGTTCTTGAAGGCACCTGTCACCAGTTTTTGAAAGAACTTCTACTGAAATGAGTTCAGCTGTAAATTGTTTGACATTGCCAAAATTGAAATTCTTCTCCATGAAGCAGTTAGGGATCTTTAAAGGTCAGAAACTGGTGTATCTTATCTGTTCAAATACCACTGAGGTCATAAAATGGCTTTTCGGAAGCTTTTTGATCTTGAAGCTTTTCACAGCTTCAGGTATTGAAGCATTAATTTCATTGGTGTCTTGTTGTAAGTTCCTCAGTCATTTTCTGGATCTGGACTGCAGAGCTGGAAAGCGAACAGTGCTTTCAGTGCTCTCTGTCATTTTCTGTTCAGGCATGAGATTTATTGAGTGCTGTAAAACACTGCTGTCAGTTCTGTTGTCTGATTACCCTTTTACATGCTGCTGATTTATACTATAGTGCTAAAACAAATATGGGAGCATCACCAATTTGTTCTGCATTTTAGTGGGTATCATCACTAGATATTTTTGACAAGAACAATGTTCTGATTGATTGCTTACTCAGTTCAAAAAGTTCTGAAAACTTTGGAAGGTAGTACACAGCTACCACTTATTTAGATGCATAGTGTGTGGGCTTCATTTGTTGTACTTAACTGACCTTTAGTACTTATATCACCAGTATAAAGGAGAAATATTTCTTTTTTAGTCAAATGCTTTTATTAGCATTATCTAACATGCCTGCTTGATTTGTACTAATCTCAGTAGAAAATTTTTAAAGGAACAGCACCAATAAAGCAGATATTTATTTCTCATTGCTTCTGTTTGCCAAACAGTTACCTTTACAAATGTCATTATGAAGAAAAAAGCATTTGTTGGCTTTGCAGCATGCAGAGGTTAGCGTAGCAGAATTTGAATGACAGGTTTCTGTTGACTTCTCATATGTCATACCCTTGTTGTACAAAGAACATTCACAGGTGTGCCCCTCTGCAGTTACACATTTCAAGACAATTCCTTTGGCAAATATTGGAAAATCACCATCTTGGTCTTTTAGCTGACAGCATGCAGATTCAAGAGAGCACCTTGGAAGTTCAGCTTCAGGGCATGCACTTCTTTTTCCCCCTAGATAAAAATATTCCACTACATTTTGAGTAACTATGTTTCTTTACCCACCATGCAAAATCTGGAGCTTTTCCTTAAAAATAGCTGTGTGTCTATATCACCATCACAAACTATGACAATTAAGTAATACTCACTCCATATTTTGTATAGTATTTTTTCAGCTGCTACAGAAAAATTGAGTAAAAATGAATAGCATGTTCAACTAGTTTATTGTGCTGCCTGAAGGGCCTTTCAGTATGCTAAATGTGCACCACAGTACTTCCACTACTTATTGATTGAAAAATCAAAAAAAAATACAAACACATATAAAATATATTGAAATGATTAGGCAATCATTAGGAATAAAGTGGCTTAAGCCATTAGTGTGGAGAAAGAAAAGCAAAACAGTGAGTGATTAAATATATATGATCGTTGGTTAGTGCATTATTAAATGGTTATATGATAAATGTATATATTAGTTTAAGGAATAAATTACACCTGGTAGCAATCATAGGCTTTGGTAAGCTATAAGGATGTTGAGAATTAAGATATTAGTGGGAAGAAGAGAGTAAACAAAAGGTAAGGTACAAAAATGTTCTATTTTACGTCTTCCTATTTTCTAGAAAATATTCAACTAGAATTCTGGAATTCTATGTGATTCTGAGACATGGCCAAAATTGTCCATAACAGATTGTTACAGTGGCTTTATTTTTATCATAGAACGAAAAACAAGATTTTACATATAATTATATATATATAGTATATTATATATCATAATTATGTAATAATATATATTTTTATATATTTATATATAGTGTGTCTATTTATATCTATATGCATATATTTCATCCAGGAGTGCAGCTGGGTTCTATCCATCTGAGAAGCAGATCTGTGGAAAGGGTCCTGGTGGGCAGCAAGCTCAGTGTGAGCGAGCAGTGGCTGCTCCTGCAGAGAAAGCCAGCAGGGTGCTGGGCTCATCTGCAACAGCACTGTGTTCAGTTTTGCTCCCACTGTACAAAACAATGTGGACAGGCTGGAGAGGGTCGAGAGAAGGGCCACAAAGGTGATCAATGTCTGGGAAGTTTCCATGTGAGGAAAAACTGAGAGAGCTGGGTTTGTTCAGCCTAGAGAAGGGGTGACCTTGTCACTGTGCTCCAGGACTTAAAGGGTGGCTACAAACATGGAGACTCCCTTTCTTACAAGTCACTTGGAAAAAATTTGGGATATAGGGTACGAGTCACTTTTGGGTAGATTCCAAATGGACACACAAAGAAATTTTTTTTCACAAAGAGAAACATCTGCCATTGCCATAATCTCCCCAGGGAGGTGGTGGATTCCCCAGTGTGGGACACTTTTAAAATTCAGCTGGACAGGATGTTGGGCCATTTTATTTAGACTGTGCTTTTGCCAAGAAAGGCTGTACCAGATAATTCTTGAAGATCCTTCCCACCTGGAATTCTGTGACTATGAATCTGTGATATATAAAATAGGAAGTTTTAAGTCTAATGCCACCTATTTTGGTAATACTTTGTTGCGTGATGTATTCTTAATTCCATAGACAAATATGAAGTTAGATAATTGACTTTGTCATATATTAGAACCAAAACAAGTATTTCAGTTCTACATTATTGAAAGAAACTTACATTAAAGCAAAAATATTGCTTTATCAGCTGATGGAGAAAGATACTTCCTTCATGGCTTCTCCAAGTGTTACTTAGTTTACTGCAGCCTAGCTAATAATATAATAGATGCTGCTTCTTATTACTCATATCAGTTGAAATAAACAGTTTTGTTTTAATGGTGCAGTAATGCATATGATGAAAGTTGCTAATGTAATGTAATAAAATACAGCTTACCAAAAACTTTCTGACAAGAATATATAAAATGTGTGCTTAATAGCAATATATTCCCTTTGCTTTCTTGAATCATGCAGCAATAATAGGAATTAAATATGAATTATTCACAGTATTCACTTTTCCCTGTCTCCATCAAGCAATAAACCATATGTATATTCTGCACATCATAATCCAAGCATAGAGGTCAAACTTAAAGTCTGCTCTCGCTTGCTATTAAACCTCTTTTATCTTAAGCAAACCATGATTTATCATGCATGCAACATTTTCATTTTTTTTTTGTTTGTTTTTGTCCTGTTTCTTTGGTGTTTATTATTTGATTGTTTCTTCAGAAACCATTTCTGTCTTCCGTCTCTCCAGGGTCAAGAGAACAGTGAAGCAATGATGGGGTGATTGACTTTTCTACAGAACTGCTGACACTGCAGCAGCAAGAGCTTTGTGCAGTTTCAAGTTCTTATTTCTTATTTCTTTCCTCATGAAAATGACATATGTAATTTTTTTTTTTAACTTTTTATTGCAAATCATTTCCTACAAAGTATAGAAGACATTTTTTGTTTGAGTGAGCTGGTAGTTGTGAAGAAAAGAATGTAGATTACTATTTTAGCAATTTTCCAGCTGAAGCTTGCCTAGAACACAGCACAAAGTAACAGGCTGTTGTTCAAATTTTTAAAACAAGGTTATTGAATAATTTCAGCAGAACATTCTGGTATTTCATATATCTGTAGGAAAAGGAAGGCGATTACTGTATATTATACAATTATTGATGAGTTCCTGCCAGTAGACACACCAATCAATTACTACTGTTCCCATTTTTATGTTAGTCATAGAATCACAGAATAAAATACAGAATTGCTTGGGGTTGGAAGAACATTAAACATTACAACATTAAAGATCACCTAGTTCCAAGCCCCTGCAGTGGGCAAGGACATCTTCCACAGGACCAAGGTGTTCAAAGCCCCATCCAAACTGAACTTGAATACTTCAGGGGTAGTGCACACATGGCCTCCCTGGGAAACCTGTTCCAGTGCTTCAAAACCCTCTTGAGGAAAATACTTAACATCTAATTTCCTAATAGCAAATCTAGAGCTCCTTTTTTTCAGTTTAAAACCATTGTACCTTGTCCTGTCATTCTTTATGGTATAAAAAGTGCCTCTTCCTCCTTTTTATAAGTCATTTTCTTCCTTCCCTTGAAGTACTGGAGGCCACATTGAGGTCTGCCCCAAGCCTTCTGCAGTCTGAACAACCCCAGCTCTCTCAGACTGTCTTCATTGGAGAGGTGCTCCAGCCTTCCGATCGTCTTCGTGGCCCTCCTCTAAATCAGATTTTTCTTAGGTTTTTCACTTATTAATGTATTAGGAAGAGAAAACTTTTGTAGTACAGGGCTAGAATGTGATTCATTATACATTACATAGCTGTTTAAGGAAAGAAAGCAAGAAAGCTATGACCTGATCAGCTAAATGCTGACAAATAGTTTCTGCCAATGTGAAAAGAGCATGCAATGGGAGGAAGATAATTTATGTGGGCAATACTGACAGGTTCAAACTCATATTTAGAGTGTTGTTGGTTTGCTTTCTTTTTCTTTCCCCATCTGGGGTTAAAAGGTAAAATACCTATTCCCAAAATTTTAGCTTCCCAATTCAAAATCATAAGCTTTCTGATTTTGTTGGCAAGCCTACTTGCTAAAAAGATTTAACAAAAGTTGTATTGAATATAAAGTCAAATAAGGAGACTTCTTGTTAGCAAGC